TTGCCTCGAAGTTCTATATCCACACTAAAATCATAGCAGATTTTAATAGCAAATTTAGGTTATCATGTGATTATTATTACACCAAAAGAGTATTACTATATATTTGTAAAATCATGTAAATGCTACTGGATCAAAAATCCACTCGCTAGTTATATTTTACATGATTATGTTCTCAATCTTTTTTTTTTTTGGTAACAGTAGGTGATATATTAATAAGAAAGAAACAACTCAAGCGAAGCTTGAGAAAATTACATGAAACAATTTAAAATCGGGAAAGAGCTACAAGTGGCCCATTTAATGGAGATACATTTAATCCAATTAAAGGAGTTAATAATAATATCGGTTAACATAATTGCCCGCATATCGTTCCTAAAGAGAATAGAATTGCATGCCTTTCAGAATTCATATCATCCAAAGGGTATTATAGATAATTGATAACCTCAACTAAATGTGCGAAATCAATCTCAAAATTTATGTATACACGAAGGACGAAGCTCCAAACATATTAGAATTATAGATAAATTGTTATTATAACATTGTAAAGATAATTAATAGGGCTAATATTCAATGGTTAAAAAAAGTCAACTTGAAAATGCCTTATTCATCAACTTTAATTAATTCATATCTTTCAATTCATCATCTTACTTAAACTGACTCCACAATCTACACATCCTTTCTTATGATATTTCTAAATTGAGATAATCATTGACAAAAAAAAAGCAAACAGTCAACTTAATTTGTATAGAAGTTTCTAGAAACTAGTTTATTGTTGATTTGAAGAAATGGAGTCATATCTTTTCTTGAGACTCTCGATATCATGGTCATTTAACGAACATCCTGGAAAGATACCCTGCAAAAATAGTTCCATAAGATCACAAAAAAAGAGTAATTATAAAACTATACACATAAGAGAAAAATTATTTACATTAAGACCCTCCTTTTTCTTGTCCGTTCTATTCCTGCACCTAAGATTCCTTTTACCCGTAATGGCATATAGATCTTCTTCAATCTCACTTTTTGAGATCGAAATTGAGAATTTTGGCGGATTTGGCTCACCAACATTTTTATGTTTCTTCACCTTGAAGTCCTCATCCTTTGTAGGAATCATAGAAGTGGACTTTGTTATTTCAACCGGTGTTGATGACTCGGTTTGATTGTTGTGTTCGTTAATTTGATCATGCCTTTTCATTTCAGAAATAATCAAATCATCAGAACCATCAGGTTTCTGAGAATTTTTATTAGGTAGAGACATTGTTTTTGTATGTTTGGTAACTCAAGAATGATTGAAATAAATAGAATGCTATCAATATAATTTTAATTGAAGACACAAGAAATTGTAGCAATAAGATTACGAAATGGTTATAAGATTACGAGAAAATGCAATAAATGTTGGTTTTGTTGTCATTGAATATTAGATAGTTGTAACGCCTTAATTAAAAACATATCCAACTAAAATATTCTCTCTAATAAATGAGATCTCATAGGTTCAACTGTTCAAGTCTCATTAGAAGACGTGAATCGTTTTAAAAGCAGATTAGCTTGCCGGTTCAAAAAAAAAATATTTCGCTACTTGTCATCTTTTAATGTACTATGTCACATGATTTTTTTTTATTATTATTTTCACTTTATTTTTTCCATATGTCATTTTATTGTTTTTTTCATTTTATTAAATTCTACATAATATTTAAGTGCAATAATAAATACATATCAATTTTATTAATAGACTTCCTTTCTAATTTTAAAATTACAAAGGTGTTGTTTGTTTTTTGTCTGCGGACCTTCTTAACCTCTTGTATGTGTGCCGTACAGACATTAGCCTTCACAGATTGTTTGTATTTTTGAAGACTACAGACTTAAAAATGTATGTGTACCATTTTTTTGGCGCAGATGTGGACGAAAGTCTTCTAACATCTTTAGACATCTTATAGTCTAAAAAACACATATATCTTTATTTTTTAGTTTTTTTTTAATTTATATTTATTCCAACTTTAATAATGATAAACAATTTGAAAAAAAAAAGTTACAATACAAAAAAGTTCGACGACACAAACATGATATTTTTGATAAATTTATAAATAAAGATTTATTACAATAATGGTCGTTGAAATTGTTTATATAAATATGAAAAAAAAAATCATAATATACTCTTATATTTTTTGTGCAAAATTTTATAAAAACATTATTTAATACAGTATTGTCAATTTCTTGGGAAAATATTTACGGTACATTTTTAATTGATTTAATTGAAAAAATTGAAATTTATTTCCATCCATTTGTGTGTCAACTTCTTTGTTTTTCAATTATAATGTTTAGGTATAACTTTGTGACCAAATTTTTGGGTTTTTATCAAATATATACGTTAATTCATACCATTTTATTTTCACTTTTATATAATAATACATAAAGTTGATCTAGATTTGTTAATTATTTAAACAAAGTCATAAAAATATTTAAAAAATCACTTTGAAGTTTACAAAAATCAGTTTATTTAGATTTTAGGTTATTTTAATAGACTGCAGTTGTTAAAAAACAAATAGTCTTTTTTTTTTCAGACTGCATATGTTCGCTCCATCTCTTCTACTATAGAGGTCCATAGATGTGGTTCGCAGACTACAGACATTTGTCCAAAAAAAAAACAAAAAACAAACATCACCTAAATTAAAGACTCATTTGTTTCCTTTGTTTACATATCTAAATTATTTGTTTAAATTAAAAAAAAAAAAACATTTTAACTTTAATAATTCAATATTTTTTTAATTTTTCTTATAAATTCAAACTTTTGAAATGTTTAGAAATTCATATTTATTTTTTTAAAATAAACTCATGTAATAAATGGGTCTCACACCTAATACTTTAATAAATAAATATCATTTTTATCACTTGTCATTCTCTCATGCATTATGTCACATGTTATTTTTTGGTAATTTTAGATTAAATTATATCTATATGTCATTTTGTGGTTTTTTCCATTTTATTCAACTCCATATAATATTTAAATATAATAATAAATACATATCAAATTAATTAATGCAACTTTCCTTATAATTTCTAAATTTCTAAACTAAATCCAATTATTTTAATAATTTATTTGTTTAAATTCTTTGTTTAAATTTAAAAGATAAAAAACACACTTCAATTTTCTTTCCTTATAAATTCAAAGTTTCTAAAGTTTTAGATCTTCGTATTTATTTTTATTTTTTTAAATAAATTCATGTAGTATATAGGTCTTGCAACTAGTTTCATTTATAAAACAATTTCAAAACTATTAAGTAATTACTAAAAATGGTATCATTGTCTTAAGATATCAATGTATTCAACTAAATATAAAGTAGGCGAATAACCGTGCGTTGCGTAGAATATAACAATATATTTGAAATCATTACAAATATATGTTTTTTAAATATATCATTGATGTTGCTGTTAGCCCTTATATGATATATCTTATAACAAGTTGGTATAAACATTGTTTGTTTTGAATTATATGATAATGTATACATCTTTTAAAATTCTATAATATCAGTTGTCTCAGTAGTCTCTACATGCCAGTTACTGATGAATAAAATTAAATATAATATATAGGTTAATGATATTTATAGTTGTTCTTATGATTAATTAGTTTTAAAGATTTTATTTGTTTAAGATTTAATTTCTATCTTTGTAATTAATTAAAACATCAAACATTCTTTTGTTTTTAAAGGTAACAATATAATTTTTATATATAATATTACTTTAACTATTCTTATTGTAAGTAATTTAAAATAAAGTATTTGGAAACTCTTAATTATTTAATTTGGTTTTAGAAATTTAACTTTTTTAAAATTTATTTGATGAATATTGTTAATTTCTTTGATTGTAATTATTTAAAACAACAAACAATGTTTTTGCTTTTAACGTTATAATTTTTTTACATAATATCACTTTTAACTATTATTATTGAGAGACTATATTATACAACAACATTTTGTATAATATATGCATTATAATGTTTTTAAATTTCAACTTCTCAACTTGATTTACTTTCAAATTTTTTAAAATTTCACTATTATCTTCCTCCTACATCACATCTTTCTATCGAACATGTATTAGGCTATATATATATATATATATATATATATATATATATATATATATATATATATATATATATATATAGAGAGAGAGAGAGAGATGGAGAAAGAAAGAGATAGATAGTAGGTTGAGTTTAGATTCAGAATAAATAGAGATCATGAGATTCAACCCCAGCCACATATTTCACATCTACCGGTCTTGCACTTTGGTATACTAGCAATGTGAGAGAGTTATAATCCTAAATGATAATGCAGCGCTACCCGTTCCCTTTCCCCCTCTACCTTCATCACCACAACAACCACCACCACCACCACCTCCACCGTGAGTACCACCTCCGACACCAACCGACCCCACCATTGCCACCTCCGTCACCTTTACCACCACCATGTCCTCCGTCACCAACCATCATAATCATAAATGATTAATCACTTTGTGAACAGAAGTATATGTATAATTATATATGATTATACACTTCATCCATATAATCATTTATGATGAGGCATATCTCCACACGTTGGTACGTTGGAGTGTTAGAGCAACAAATGAGAAATATGTGTTTGCGGTTTAATCTCAAGATCTCTAATTTTTTCCGACTCTTAATGGAACCATCCTCTGTGTGTGTGTGTGTCTAGGGGTGGCAAATCGGGCAGTCGTGCCGTGTTTTTATCTAACACGACACGACACGAATTATTTTCCCTCAACCCGAACACGAAACGAAACGATATCGTGTTTGTTTTCGTTAACACGAACACGAAAAAATAAAAAAACACGAAAACACGAAAAAACCGATAACACGAAATAATTTACCAAAAAAAAAAACAATTCCATAATGTCATTCATAGTTCTTGCAAAAAAAGTTAAATTAAACATAACAAATACACATTTAGTGACAGAAAATAACATAAAACGTCATAAAATTTTGCTAAATGTCTTCAAGCTTGTGACTCCATTTCTTCATGTGTACCATTAGCATTGTTATCAAACTTCATAACATCTTCGGTAAGATCTTGTAAACATAACTCTTCATCACCTACAAACAATATTAAAAACATATTAAAAATATTAAATACTTTATACAAATGTTTCAAGAAGAATACAAATTACCTTTAATCCCAAACAACCAATCTTTTGCACAAATTAGAGCTTCAACATTTTCATGTTTCAACGAACTTCGATATTGATCAAGAATACGACCACCATTACTAAAGGCTGATTCGGATGCCACAGTGGAAACAGGGATGCTCAAAATATCTCGAGCCATGGAAGCAAGTTCCGGATAACGATATTGATGGGCTTTCCAAAAAGAAAGTACATTTATATCTTCAGTTATGTCACTTCTTGGCTCATCTAGATACATCTCTAATTGTGATTTTTGAGACAAAGCAAACTCCTTAGTTTCATACACTGTGAACTCCTATGAAAACAGAAAATTAATTAGTATAAATTAAAAAAACTTATGAAATAAACTAATTATATAAAAAAATTAATTAGTAAAAACAACTTCTTACTTGTAGCATTTCTCTCGTGCTTTTACTAAGTGTTGTGTCATCTTTCTTTTTGTAAACACTTTTACTTGAATCACTTGTTGAAATGGTTGATGCTCTATAAGCCATGGGTGATTCAATAACGTATTCACCAAATAGATCATGTAACTTCTCCCGAATACAATCACTATGCTCACGAAAACTGCTTCCATAGAGTTTTTTGTAAGTAAACTCAACATATTGCATTTTATAACGTGGATCCAAAACTGCAGCCATGGCCAAAATTGGACTATACTCGGACCAATATTTAGAGAACTTCTCATACATTTTGCAAGCCATTATCTTTATAAACGTATCCGAACTTTCTATTTCTTCTTTTAAAGTTCTTTCAACCGTGGAAACTGAAGGAAAATATAAGTTTGCTGTGCAATACTTATTTCCAGAAAAAATGCATGTGACTTCATAAAATACTTCCAAAAATTTGAAAATCTTTTCTAATTTGCCCCATTCTTCATTACTTGGACAATCTAAGTAATTAGAATCACTTAGTGCTAAACGGAAAAAAGCACGACGATAAAAAAGGGCACTTTCAATCATAAGAAAAGTAGCATTCCATCTAGTTGGAACATCTTGTCGCAAGCCTTTATTTGGATTCAAATTAACCTGTTTCACACAATTCAGAAAGTTTCTTTTCCTTACTGAAGATCCCTTCACGTACTTGATAGATTCTCTAATTTTGACAATCCCTTCATCAATAGCCTTCAAGCCATCTTGCACAACTAAATTCAACACGTGAGCACAACATCGAACATGAAAATAATCTCCGTTACTATGAAGTGCACCTTCATTACATAATTGACCTTTTAGGAGATTGACAAAAGTATCATTACTTGCAGCATTATCTAACGTGATTGTAAACAACTTTTTATCAATCCCCCAATTGGTCAATAAAGTAGATATTGTTTCGGTCAAACATACGCCATTATGTGGAGGTGGCATATATTGAAAGTTCAAAATTCTTTTTTGCAACTTCCACTCCTCATCAATAAAGTGAGAAGTAACACACAAGAAACCATCTGTGTTAATAGAAGACCACAAATCAGCAGTTAATGAAATTCGACCAGGAAGTAACTCAAACAATTTCTTGAGTTTTCCTTTTTCTCTTTTAAACAAATTCAGCACATCTTCTTTAGCGGTGTTTCTAGTAATTGTGGTAACTTTTTCATTTAAGTAACTAAAGATTTCTCTAATACCCTCATACTCTACAAACCTAAAGGGAAGGTCATGCTTGACAATAGCTTCACTAATAAGTTCACGGAATCTTTCGGGTTTAAAAACTGTGGAATTTATTGAAATTGAACCACCTGATTTTGCAAAACTGAATTGTGCTATGTCACTTTTGTCCCTTCTTGGACACTTTGCAATGTGATTTCTCAAGCTACCTGTTCCATTTTTTGTTTCACAAATGTATCTTTTTTTGCACTTATCACATTCAGCCCTTTCCCTACCATCTGCACCAATTGGAAGTCTAGTATAATACTTCCATACCTTAGACCACCTTTCCCTTTCCATTTTTACATGATCTTCTTCACCCTCTACTTTAACATCTACCTCCACAACATCAATGTCATCAGCTTCTTCTTCAAGTTCTACATCCTAAAATAAAAAAGGAGGGTCTTTTTCAGAAATTATATAATTTAGATGGGGAAAAGTTTAAAAAAAATAATAAAATACCTGAGGAGCTACAGTTGCAGAATGTGTATCTGTTTTATTAAGCTTTGCCTTTTTTGTATTATGTGTTTTATCAAGCTTTGCCCTCTTCATGTCGATTTTCTTATCAAACTGTTTGAAATAAAAATTGGAAACAAATATTTAAAAGAAAGCTGCAATATGAAACTAAGAAAGCAATCAGAAGCAAAATATGGAGTGTACAGTTTATTAAAATAACAACAAAATTCAGAGTAATCAAGAAGACTAGAAGTATAAGTAAAATCAAGTATCTTAGAAACAAATATGGAGCAATATTAGAAGTAATCAAGAGATAAGACGTATACAACTTCTCCTTATTGCAAAATCAATCAAGAATTATCACAGAAATATTTTTATTTTCTTTTTGTATAAGAAACTACAAAAAAAAGCAAGTGACAAGAGTGCACAAATGTTTAGTGCTATTACGTATTTGCGTACTTAACGATATCACAATTCACAAAAGTCTTTTTCTAAGTAACCAGTTGCAACATTCTTTGAAAATTAAATAATAAAATTACCTTTCTTGCGTCAATTGTGGTTGAGATTTGAGAAGCAATAAAGCAAGTATATGAGTCAATTGCGATTGTCTGAACGGCTAAACCATAAACGAAACAAGTTTGAGAAGCAAGAATAGGAAACGTCTATATATATATATATATATATATATATATATATATATATATATATATATATATATATATATATATATAGGGTCCGGATCAGGTAGGAACCCAAAAATTGGTAGGAACCGCGATGACTATTCTCCAACAATCATTTTGTCAAGGGCACAAATGTCAAACCGATTTACTTGATCGTGATGCGTTCGCATGAGGCGCACGTGCATGGAACGTGATATGGATGCGAGAGAATAATCATGTGCGACGAACTTCCATGGAATGAATGTGTTTTTCTTTTATTTTTCATTTATTTTGTTTTTTTTTTCGCTAAAAAATTCAAATACCAAGCGATCCACATAGAGAAGCTAAGAAAATCCAACGATGGCAATCTAAACAAACACAAGCCATAGAGGACAACCATAATGGAGAAAATAAATCTTGACCCAAGCAGGACCACAATAAAGGAATCCAACCATATTTAGAGACAAACAAAGTCAAAAATATAGCAACAATGTTATAAAAGGATAACCGAAAGACAAATAAAACAACCATAGTGTCTTACAAAAGAAAAAAGAGCCCAACATTAGGGAATTTTAGACCAACCAAAACATTATCAACCATGCCAAGACCATCCAACAACTTCGTACCTCACACATCTCCAACATTGCCACCACTCAAAGAAGTGTCAACTCTTGTATGCCCAAACATAAAAGAGCTAGACTGAACAACCAAACACACCGAGAAGCCAAGATCATACAAATAATCTCCACAAAACATGGTAGAAAAAAGCATCTTGCATTCGTTGTAAACATGTAGGGTCATAAAACAGAACCTCACCCTTAGCAAAATCAGGAGAGAGCTCTTCATTCATTAGCTCATAACCTTGTCGTTTCCTAAACTCAATGCATATTGACTCACGCGTGTGTTCGCATTATAAAAAGATGAATCATCAAAAATTTTATCAACAACCTTACCTATACCCTCGAATAGAACCCATCTCATATCTTCTTCAAATTTTTGTACCTGGACAATCAAACTACTCACGCTCGCTTGTAAGTCGGTATTCTTCAACACTGACTCTCCAAGATTACTCTTCAATTTTCTAACACCTGTTTCTAGCATGGACACATTGTCAAATTAACCAACCCTTTCCAATGATAATGACGCCATCTTACCTTTAAAAACAAGCAGTTTCTCTTCCAGGTGATAGGTATCAGCTACCTTATTCTCCAACATCGCTTCATCTTCTTTCAACAATCTTACTTCGTCCCTTAAAGCCTCCAGATGAAACATCCCAAAAATATAGATCAAAAATTTCTTTTTTAAATCATTTATGAAAAGCCATAATCCATCCATATCATAATAAAACCACAAGTCATGTATCTCAAAACATCATCAATTATGTCAATGTATCAAAATCACATATCATAAATCAGAGTGAATCCTTCCAGGCTAAAATAATGGTGTGTGTCATGCAATCATCCCAAGCTCTTCCCATGGCTAGCGGAAGTACCTGAAACCAAAAGTGAAAACTGTAAGCACGAAGCTTAGTGAGTCTCCCCAACTACCACATACCATACACATAACACATAAACATATCTTGGGTCCCACCCCTGGTACATCGAATCAGGCTCAACATCAGCTTTCTCGACATCAGGCCCCACCCGACATCGAACCCTATTTGGCATCGGGCCCCACCCGGCATCAAGCCTCGCCCGATATTGAGCACATCTCGGAATACATTTGAATACAATCTATAATACACATAACCTAAGCATATATCATTAACATTTAAACATTCCTCGGGCCCAGACCGGCATCAGACTGTAGTCTGGAAACATACTAACATTCCTCGGGACCGCTCCGGCATCGGACTGGAGTCCGGAAACATACAAGTACAAACACATGCAAGAATCTCAAAGACATCAAGCATACAAGCATTCCTTGGCACCGCCCCGACATCAGATCGAAATCCAGAAAAGCATATAAACCTACATCAGGCCCTTCCCGGCATTGGACCGTACTCCGAAACTACTACTAACTAAACGAACCGGCTTTGGTGCCTTAGACTTGTTCCTACTGGAGGAAACTCACCTCGAATGCTAGCTGTGAAATCTTATGTGAGGAATCTCTGACATTTGCTCCAACGACTCCCCGACTATCAATTTCACAATAGTACTTAATCAAAAATCTGCTAACTCTTCTTGTGATAAAATGACCATTTTACCCCTGCTCAAAGCCAATGTCTTGGTCAAAGTCAAAGTCAACTCCCAGTCAACCCAACTCATCAAGTTACCTCCTAATTCGACGAGTTCCTATACTACTCAAACTCGTGGCCAGCCGAGTCAACTCGTTGAGTCCCTTTGCAGACTCATCGAGTTCTACCTGGCATGCTATCGGGACAACCCGGCTTCAACTTGTCGAGTCCCTTACTGGACTCGTCGAGTTCCCATGTATGTTTGGCTAACTTAATGGATTAAACCCCTACACTTCAGATGCAAGCTTCATACTTCACATCAACCTTCAAAATGTCCTTTTAAGGGTAAAGTTTCTGACTTTACCCATTAATACCACTTCTTAGAGGTTTTATCTCAAACCTTAATTCCTTGGGACTTAGACCTTGGTCCTTAAGCCCTCAATACACCAAACTTAAGCTTACAACCTCAAATCTAAACCCCTAGCACTACTTGGACACGTAAAGTTCCCACCTTTCCCACATGCATGGCCTTTTGGGGCTAAAAAGGCCAATATGACTCTCTAAGGCTTGCATGGGCGCTCCAATGACATAAAGTTTGCACCTTTATGTCATCACAACCCCTTTAGGTACTAGATCTGGAAGAATACCCACTTCGATCATTTCCCAAAAGCTATCAATCTTAAACCCACATAAAGAGGACATAAAAAGATCAAATAAACCAATAGTCAATATAGAAGCTTGATTACCATAAAATGAAGCAAATGGAGTGTAGTTTCTGGATCTACCCTTTCCTTATTAAGCCCTCTATCTTCTTCTTCTTCCACAAGCCTCAAAAGAGCACAAAGGTCACTCAAATTGCTCACACTCTTAAAGAAAGCTCTAGGGTTTCATGGATTAGGGTTTGGGATAAGGAGGCTAGAAATAAGGCCAAAGGGTGGGGGTTAAGGACTCCAAAATTAGGGTTTCACTCTGGCCGAACCACTCGTTGAGCAGAGGGCTCTTGACTCGTCGAGTAGATAGCTCAAATCTCGCGCATAAATTGCCCTCTACTCGATCAGTTAGGGCCACCAACTCGTCGAGTGCCTCTTTGAAAATAAATAAATAAATGAGTTAAAAGCATACCAGGAACCAGGCATTACACCAGACCAGATTCAGGAACCATGGGAACACTCGAGCTCACTCCCTCCAGCTCAATAACTCTTTTAGACATCTCTACAAATTTATCTCAAAAAGATTTAACATTCCAAGATAGGCATGTCGAAGGAATGATAAATGGATTCACAATATCAATTACCACCCCAAACTCACCTTGTAAATCATGGCTTTACCGATGTAACTCTGCATTTTCATTACACAAGTTCATAATTTCACTCCCTAGAGCCAAGTTTTTGACAAGTTTAACTTTAAATATTCCCCGAACATTTTCCCTATGGTTTTTTCCAAGACTAAGCTGATTTCTTAGCAAAGCAAAGTTCTTAAAAACGACATGATGGCTAAGGGATCTAATAGGTTTTGATCTTGATGATACTCCCAATCGAGAATATAGATGGGCTTATTGGGATGAGAAATGTTTGAATATGGGGGGAGGGGGAGGGGACTAAAAGTGTTCTAATGGTCAATGTAAGAAGCATATTTGCTCACCCTAATTGTTTATGAATGAGTGAAAAGAAGTATGATCCAAATAATATGATCACTTTATAACATGAACGGAGCTACCACTATCCCCACCCGATACAGTCGTAGCAAAATTTGTTGCACCCTTTTCCGAGCAATCAAAGGGGTGTCATTAGCATCATCATCAATATCTTCATCATCAACAACCGTCTTGAAAATACCACTAATTGGGAATTCACTATTACCACCTACACTAAAGTCATAAGGATCATGGACGCGAGTAGAAGATTGAGACCTTTCATTGTTTTCATCATCATTATCATTGTTACTACCTTCCTCCCCATCACCACTCACACTATCATCCATAATGGGCAAGTTAAAGTCATCAGAAGCAATATCCTTATCCAAATGTTGCCCTCAACAAAGCCACTCAAAAGTAATGGAGATCAAACACCATTTGCACAACAATCTAAGTATAAAACATTCAAACAATAACTGACAACAAAACCATAAGTACATACAGTCAAGAAAAAGGAAAAAAAGAAAAAGAAAAACTTAGATCTCGACCGTACAAAGCAGGAATAACCCCTATACGGATCCAATGTAGACTCATACTGACTTTCCCTAACACCGTTTCAGGGAATTTTTTCATGGACACACCCAATATTGAAATTTTAAATATGTCTTGTCCAAGATAAGAAATAATACAAGCCTTACAAACATCTACTATTCTGTTGGCCTATAATCCATAAATCTCTCATCTGATCATCACACTTGTGCTCTCGTACCACTACCTGTAATATGAGAAACTGAGTAGTTCATGATTGGAAGCCTGGTCATAGGGTTTATAACCCACAACAATTAAATTCTTTTAATTTTATATTTTCATCAAAACATTCAACCCGATTAAACATTCTCGTTATCCTCACTTTATGTCCCTAAATCATCTAATTTAGGGGACCTATTCAAAGGATCATCTTCGGGATAGATAATAGTGTTTAGGGGATTCCTTAGCAGTTTATGTCAATAAAGCAGCCATAGAGAGGATGGAGTATGCCTAGTGAACACTTAGTTCAAAACACCTACAGGTTGCGAGCCTACTAGTGTTCCATTGGACTGTCTAGAATAGTTCGTGGTCATCATCTTTACTCCGCTAAAAGACTATATCATCTTTAAGTCAAGGCCTATCATCATCTATTTCATCTTTCACCTCTCATCATTTATATCATCTTTTATCTACCCATCTCCACCCAATATATTTATAGGTATAAAAATACATATACAGTTTGAATCAAGTAAAACATGTATAAATCGTTCATCTAGCATAGATATCAGAACATAGCTAATAGGCACATATAACATGTAATTATCTTAAATACTTCATATATATATATATATATATATATATATATATATATATATGTAAGATGAAAGTAATTATGTACTCTCTTGTTAAAGTGATGACTCGAAACTCAGACAGTGCTTCGCTTCTATCAACTGACTTTTCCTTGGACGTAACCTAGTATCATTATCACTAAGTCTTAGCCTAATATTCTATGTGACTAAAAATAGTCTAGACCTATCAATTATTCCAATGAATATTGATAGTTCTATAAAATAAGGATCAAATAGGTAGGACAGTTGGGGGGCATGATCATTTTGGCATAGTAGTTTTTCTAAAATCCAACAAGCAAGCCAATGTGACCATTCTAGACACCTCTCCCGTAAGAAGATAGATAAGTATTATAACTTGTAATTACTGATAAATCTTATTTATAGGTTCATAATAGCGACTATGACTTATAAATATAAATTACACTGAGATAAAGTCGAGTGTAATTTAACTTATAGAGATTCTCTAGACAAAAGTCTAGAAATTATGCTAGCATAACTCCGACCTACTAGCAACTTAGATGTCGATCTTTAAGGGATCTCAAGGCTTCACCATATACTTAAAACTAAGGAAATTTTAGGATTTTGGCCTAAGAACTCAAGAAGAAAGGTATAGGATGTGTGGGGGATGAAATGGGGGCATTACAGCCTATTTATAGCTAAATTTGGGGTGCACAGCGCATGTCATACATTTTAAGGTGATGTTTGAAGGGTTTTGAGCATTCTCACACTCCTAAGGTGTACATGCAACCCTAGAAACCTTGGATCTATGTTTGTCTAAAATACATGCAAAATTTGATTTCCAAGGTTCTTAATCTTATCTAACATACATGGGGAATTTTAAACATAAAAGATAGATAAAAATACATACCTTGTAGTGATTTGGATTCCTTGAAAACCTTGTGAGCCTAGAACCCCAAGTGTGATGCCTCAAATGTCTCACACAACACCAAATGCACTTGGAATAAACTTGAGAGAAATGTCACACTTCTAAAAATCGGCTTGCCCTCTCTCTATATCTTCTAGTGGCCGATTTTTGTGAGCAATATATTACTTATATAGTGTGTTACAATTAGGGTTATACCATGTA